TGGGCACTCACCGCGGATCCAAATTTGACCTCGCCATCACTGGGGGGCTGCGATCTGCGAGACTGTCGCCACTTTCGAGGGGTACTAGGGAGGCCAACAGAGAGGGCACCCACCGCGGATCCAAATTAGACCTCGCCATCCCTGGGGGGCTGCGATCTGCGAGGCTGTCGCAACTTTCAGTGGCTGCTGGGGATACCAACAGAGTGAGCACTCACCGCGGATCCAAAGTAAACCTCGCCATCGCTGGGGGGCTGCGATCTGCAAGGCTGTCGCCACTTTCGAGGGCTGCTAGGAAGGCCAGCAGAGTGGGTACTCACCGCGGATCCAAACTTGCCCTCGCCACCCCTGTGGGGCCGCGATGTGCGAGACTATCGGCACTTTCGAGGGCTGCTGGGGAGGAAAGCTGAGTGGGTACCCACCGCGGATCAGAGTTAGACCTCGCCATCCCTGAGAGGGGGGGGGGGGCTGCGATCTGCGAGACCGTCGCCACTTTCGAGGGCTGCTGGGGAGGCCAGCCTGAGTGGGTACTCACCGCGGATCAAAATTAGACCTCGCCATCCCTTCGGGGGGGGGCTGAGATCCGCGAAACTGTCGCCACTTTCGAGGCTGCTGGGGAGGCCAGCCTGAGTGGGCATTCACCGCGGATCTAAAGTAGACCTCGCCATCCCTGGAGGGCTGCGATCTCCGAGGCTGTCGCCGCTTTCGAGGGTTGCTGGGGGGGGGGAGGGCAGCAGAGTGGGAACCCACAATGGATCCAAATTAGACCTCGCCATCCCTGGGGGGTTGCGATCAGCGAGACTGTCGCCACTTTCGAGGGCTGCTGGGGAGGCCAGCATCATGGGTACTTGCCGCAGACTCAAATCAGACCTCGCCGTTCCCGGGGGCTGCCTTTTACCCAACGACTCAGGGTTAATCTTGTTATCGCTTTTCACCAAGCCCTTATCCCTTGATCGGGGACCCGCGAGCCTCCCGAATGCCGTTTGCAGAAGTATATCCTTCCATGCCTCGTAATCACCCCGTACAAAGTCTCCCAAGCTACTCATACCCCGCATTGCGCAGGGGTTGGGTATGTCGCCAGGGTAATCTTACGACGCGATCATGTCTGGGTCAGCCTAAGGTACAAGTCTGTAGACTGGAGCTTTGGACCCTTCGGAGGATCTTCGTGGACCAGGGAGCGGCCTCGACCCTCGAGCCTCGCAGCCTGGAACCTCGAGGAGGACCACTCGGACAACCGGTGGTCTGTGAGAGAGCCGCTCGGCTGGCCCTCCACACGAGGGAGGCTCGGGGCAGAGCACAGGCTGCGCCTTCGCCCCCTCCTCAACTTCTCCATCAACGGGGCTCCTGTGCGGATGGGCTCCTCGGGGCGCACCCTCGGACCCCGAGGATGGGCTGCCGCAGCAGGAGGGAGAGGGGGGGGCGGGGCAGCAACGACCGCAGCAGCCTCGATCGCCGATCCACCAGAACACAACCGAGCTCAGGCTATGAACGTGGAAACGTAGAACAGCAGACAATCGCAACACTCAAACCTCAGCATTGAAACATCACAACGATCAGAATTCGCTTGGCGAGCGACAAGTCGATCCGGAAGCCGAAGAGAAAGACTGAAGACGAAGCCAGACACGCCAGATACAGGCCGATCGAATCCAGCGGCCGGCCGACCACGGCGCCGCTCCAGCTTCGTCAGGGCCGCGGCGCCGGCGAGGAGCGCGCAGGCCTCGATGCAGCGCGGGACCCCGCGCATCCTCCGCGGGCCATCCCGGGGGGGAGGGGGGGCACGGGACGGGACAGGCGCCGAGACCGCTCCACTCGAACGCCAGGGGATCGCCGCCTGGGGAGGAGGGCGCGGGGCAGCCGGCCCCTCACACGCGCGCCCTCGTTCCAGCGTCGTCGTGGACCGTGAGGCCGTCGCTTCGCAGCTCTCGGGGGAGAGGAGGGGGGGGAGGATCTACAGTAGGAGCTCGACCACAAGAAGCGTTCAACCCAACCCTGAGACCCCAGGACCTCCGCTGAATTTCGGTGTGGGAGCGTCCGCTCTCCCGAGCAAGAGCATCGAAACCAAAGAAACCCAGGGCACCCTGGAGGCAAGCAAGGTGCTTCTTGGCATGGGCTTCCACTGTAGGCAACAACGCATCTCCCTTATGTGGGGAAGTCTGCTCTGTGAGAAAGAACTCGGCATGCCTAGACCTTCTGGTCTGGCTTGCACGCCTCAGGCTGACAAGTGGCTACGCCTGAAATCTTGAAGCACGGTTGTAGGCCTGAGGTGATCCAAACTGGCCTTCCCAAGGGTTTCTTCAGGAACTCCTGCGAACCCCTTCAAAAATACGGAGGGTAGCGGGTCGAGGCGGTTACCCTAAGGGCGAAGAACTCAAGAACAGAAGGGCACCACTCCAAAGCACGGACGATAACAGGACAAGACATCACGCGAACACGAAGACTCTAAGTTCACTGAGACATGATAAATCGGTGAAGGCCCAAACACGCAGAACACAAGGGTGCCCCTCCAAAGCTGGGGTTGCTCTTGACCCTCGCGCAAGCAGCTGTAGCCCCCCTGACGAAAATCGCCGTGTAGCTGAATCGAAACGCCCAGCTTGACAAAAAGAACATCACAGCGACCCAGGAGTCAGTGGCGATCGAGGACAAGCCCAAAGCTTGGTGGAGGCCCCCCCCCCCCGTCCCCCCCTCCCCTTCTGCATAACAACCCTCTCACCTTGCTCCTGCGTCTGCTCCTGCTCCTGCTCCTGTCCTCCTCCTCCTCCTCCTCCTCCTCCTCCTCCTCCTCCTCCTCCTCCTCCCTCCTCCTCCTCCTCCTCCTCTCCTCCTCCTCCTCCTCCTCCTCCTCCCCCTGCTCAGCCTCCTCCCCCTCGTCCTCCTCGTCGTCCTCCTCCTCCTCCTCCTCCTCCTCTCCTCCTCCCTCCCCCTCCTCCTCCTCCTCCTCCTCCTCCTCCTCCTCCTCCTTCTCCTCCTCATCCTGCTCCTCCTACGCCTCATCTCCACACCACCACCACCACCAGCACCACCACCACCTTTTTCTTTGTAGTATTATTAGTGTCCTCTTATTATGTTTATTATTGTTGTCCTTATTTTTAGTATTATTATTAATAATAATAATAAAATAAAATAAAATAAAATACAATAAAATGCGCATGATTCTTAGTAGCGTTAGTATTATAATTATTAGCAGTATCATTAGTAGTATTAATACGGTTAGTCTTATCAGTCGTATTCTTATTAGTATGATTCGTATTATTATTAATCGCATTCTTCTTAATATCAGTATTAGTATTCTTAGAAATAAGATTGTTATTATGATTAGTAGTAGTAGTAGTAGTAGTATTAGTATGATGATGATTATTAGTGTTATGATTAGTGTTATTATTATTGATATTATTATTACTAGTATTACTGGTAGTACTAATAATATTATCATCATTATTTTTATTAGCATTATTGTTATTATTATTATTATATTAGTATTACTTGTCGTGTTAGTGTTATTCGTCTCCTTCATCATAATCATCAGCATCATCATCATCAGCATCATCATCATCACCATCATCATCATCAGCAGCTGCATCATCGTCATCATCATCATCAGCATCATCATCAGCAGCAGCAGCTGCATCATCATCATCATCATCATCATCATCATCATCATCATCATCATCATCATCATCATCATCATCATAATCAGCATCATCATCATTATCATCATCATCATCATCATCATCATCATCATCATCATCATCATCATCATCATCATCATCATCATCATCATCATCATCATAGAATCCTCATCATCATCATCATCACCATCATCACCATCATCATCAGCAGTAGCAGAAGCAGGGGCATCATCATCATCATTACCATCACCCATTATCATCGTCATCGTCATCATCAACATCAGCATCATCATCAATCATCAACACGATCAGCATAATTTGCACCGACATCATCATCATAATCATCATCATCATCATCATCATCATCATCATCAAATTCATCATCAGCATCTTCATCATGTTCATAATCATCATCAGCAACAGCAGCATCACCACTGTCGTCATCATCATCAGTACCAGCATCATCCTCACCATCATCATCATTATCAACCTCATCATCGCCATCATCATGATCATCATAATCGTCGTCATCATTACCATCATCATAAGCATCATCATCAGCACATTCACCATCGGCATCATCATCGTTTTCAGCATTCTCAACATCAGCATCATCATCATCCTCATCATCAAGATCACCATCATCATCACCATCATCGTCATCCTCATCCTCATCCACGTCTTCGTCTTCGTCTTCGGCTTCGTCCTCATCATCATCAGCAACAGCATCAGCAGCATCATCACCGCCACCATCGTCACCCTCATCATCATCATCATCATCAGCATTATCATCAGCAGCATCATCATCATTCCCGTCACTCTCCTTCTCCTCCTGCTCGTCATGCTGGTCCTACGCGTCCTCCTCGCGTTCCTCCTCATGACGTCTGACATCCGACACCTCCCACCACATGTGTGTGCCGATGGATTCACATCCTTCTACCCAATCCCGCCAGAGCAATCAGCCAGGTTAAGAGAGTGGCATTACTACGGCCTCCAAGCAGCGGGGCAAGCAAGGCAAAGGCGGAGCAGACGGTTGAGGGAGGAGAAAGAAGGAAAAAAAAGAGAATGACGAGGTGGGGGACGAGGAGGAAGCGCGCCCCTCACATGTAGACGCGTCCTAAGGGCAGCAAACATGACGCATCATCAACAGCTAAGACGCGATGCTGGAGCACCTGTTGCCTGGCAGCGGCACCAGACGCATCACGACCCCCCAGCTCTGCCAGCGCTTCGATCATTCCCTGGGTTGGCGAACATCACTGCCTGGTTGCGCAGAGGGCACGAAACGACCCAGCCATGGCGAGGACGGGCTCCAAACCGCGGCGCGTGCCCGCGCAGGGAGTCACTCTGTGTTGGAGAAGCACGTTTCGGACTCCAGGGCCCTGCGGATCACCCAGCATCTGAATGCGAAGGGGAACTAGCAGCGTTCGAAAAGATCACCTGCAGTGATGAAATGAGAAGGCGATGGAGAGAAGCGCTTTAGGGTTTGAGGCTGGAGTGGAAAACAAAACACCAAAAAACAGAAAGCAAAAAAATGAAAGGGGTAATTAACGGGGGAGGCGGAGAAACGGGAGAGACGCAAGGGCGCATGGGAAAACAATGCAAAAAACGTGAGAGGCGGCTGCACCGGTACCGTGCATGTGCTTTTCGTCCGCGGTCCTGGCGGCTGCAGCCCACGAGGCGGAATGGAGATGGCGGCCAGCAAATCTTGGACTGCGACGACGAAGTTCCACCAGGGCCCTCTATTCCCCTGCTTTCGCTGCAAGGCATCGAGCGCCACTGCCGATCCTCGACAACCCAGCGCCATCCAGGGAGGTTCTCTTGCCTCCTCGCACCGAGGAAGCAAGCCTCCACGCCGCAGGGTGCAGCCCAAGGTTCGCTGGCAGGTAATGCGGTGGCGGGAGGCACGGGCGGCACAGCGATTTGAGCCGAAACCGACTCGTCGGGAGCGCGGTCGGAGCCAGGCGCGCCACAGGCGGCCAACTACTACCACTACGACTCATACTACGACTCCTACTACGACTCCTACTACGACTCCTACTACGACTCCTACTACGACTACTACTACTACTACTACTACTACTACTACTACTACTACTACTACTACTACTACTACTACGACTACTACTACTACTACTACTACTACTACTACTACTACTACTACTACTTACTACTTACTACTACGACTACTACTACTACTACTACTACTACTACTACTACTACTACTACTACTACTACTACTACTACTACTACTACTACGACTACTACTACTACTACTACTACTACTACTACTACTACTACTACTACTACTACTACTACTACTACTACTACTACTACTACTACTACTACTACTACTACTACTACTACTACTACTACTACTACTACTACTACTACTACTACTACTACTACTACTACTACTACTACTTCTACTACTTCTACTACGCCTGGGAAGGCGGAGAAAGGGGAGGAGGCGCGCAAGACAGCGTGCAAGGAGGCGCGCAAGGGGGGGAGCCAGGAAGGACCGCTGATGGACAGAATCCTGCACAAATTCTTTATACGTTCTTCTTCGCCCCCCCGCGCCCCCAATCTAATACTGGCGGGCTGTGGCGCGATTTGATGATCTGCTGACTGGCCTAAATCCTGCACCCCGCGAACACTCAATCGGGAGCAGGGGGCGCGTGGAGACTTGCGCCGTCGCCCCGGCTGCCCGGCAGGTGCAGAACTTTGTCCAACAGCCGACGAAAAGGGGAGAGAGGGCAGTCGGGCGGTCGAGGGATCGCGGGCAGCCAGGCGGTCCGCGAGCCAGGCCAGTGGGCGGGTGAGACTGGCGCGGTCCGGCGCTGAGGCACAGGAGGCCGACGGACACGGGGCGCGAAGGCGGAAACGAAGAGTGAGGCAGGGGTAGCGTGGATAGCGGGTGAGGGCGTGGACGATGTTCTTTATGTTTTTGAAGATTTTGGTCTCTCGGGGGGGCGGCCCTGAGGGCTACGGGGGCACTTGGAACCGTCTCGTGGCCCTCGTCGGGCCTCTTGGAGGTATGTCGGAAGCTATATTGAACCATCGTCGGCTATCTGGAGCAATATTGGAGGCCACAGGGGGTGAGGGCGTGGAAGAGCAGGAAGAGACCGAAGCGAAGCAAAGGACAATAAAAATGGCTTGGGCGCAAAGACCACGCGAGCTCCTGCATTGCACATCCCAGCACGGAAGAAGACATGTTTTTGAGGATTGAGCAAAGCCACTGACTGAAGCACGCAAACTAGGCGTCGAGAGCTCTCAAGCAAGACGTCCAACACTTGTCCTAGTACTGATCGTGGGCGGCGAACTTGTTCCTCCGAACGGGTAACCTGAGCACCCGTGCCACGGTTTCCCATGGAGTTGGTGCAGCCGCGGCAAGCAAGAAACGCCAAAATCCGCAGCATGCGAAGCATGGGGAAAACATTCCAAGCAAGCATCCCAAGGGCGACAATGCCGAGTCCGCAAGGCAGACCAAACCAGGCCAATACATCGACCTCCTGGGAAGCCGATACTCAAGCCTTCCGCGGTGGAAGCATTTTCCTGCAGTTTTGACCACAATGGCCGTCCCTCGCAAGTCGCAGGCTCGGTCAAAACATCGAGTAGCGGCTGTTGCTAAGCCTGCGTGACCACCATTGCCAAGGGCGCACACGTCCCACGGCAATGGGCACCCCTCAGGGTCAGAAAAAAACACGATTTCAACAAACTCCCTGGGAATAGGCGTTCTAAGGAATTGGTTGTTCTACCCCACTGCTCCACGTTGTAAAATGCCCCTACCCCGCTCGACCGGCGACCGACCAGGAACAATGCCGCCCTCCCCCATTCATCCCTGACAAAGTGCCTCTAGCGGCAAGAAATCGAACATGCTTGGGCGTTCCACGATCATTTTGCATTGCTCCTGTTGCAAAGGACGGCAGGGGGGCCTATCACGCTGTCCGCTGTGCGCAGGCCAAGCGTCCGTAAATCATTCACTGCGTGGAGCTCCCCATATGTGCATCTATTGGTATGGACCTGTCCGCCGTGAGTGTCTACGCGAAAGAGTTTTCGAATGTAAACGGGCTTGAGTATTCACGGTTTAGAAACGACTCTAACTGCGAATGAGTTGGAGTGTGAATAAATCACAATAGTACGAGCGCGTCTCTGCGCATGAGCCTGGGGCATCCTGGGGCCTCCGGAAGCCTCATGGGGTTTCCTGGGGCCCCCTTGAGTCTCTTGGGGCCTCCTGGGGCCTTGCGTGGCCTCCCGGGGTTTCCTGGAGCCTGCTGGAGCCTCCTGGGGCCTCCTGGGGAGGATTCGTGACCCCCACTAGAGGCCAAATCTGAGGGAACACACGTACATAAAACACTGCGGATTGGAGCCGCAGGAGAAGCCCAATATATGAGAGCACACGAAAAACACAAAGGACACGTGCGGGGGAGGTCAAATCTATGAGAACCTACGTAAAACACTAGGATTGGATACACTGGGGGAGGACAAAATATAGAAACATACGTAAATACAAAAAGGATTCGTGCTCCAGGGGAACCCCAATCTATAGGAGCATACGTACATTTCATGATATTGGAGCCACTCTTGTGGCCTTTTGAATCCTGCTCCTGGGGCCTCTTGGGGCGTCCTGGTGCCTTCTGGGGCCTCCTAGTACCTCCTGGCGTTTCCTGTGGCCTGCTGGAGCCTCCTGTGGCGTCCTGTGGTCCCCTGGAGCATCCTGGAGCCTCCTAAGGCCTCCTGGAGCTTCATAGGGCCTCCTGAATCTCTTGGGGCATCCTGTGGCCTCTTGAATCTTCCTGTGGCCTCCTGATGCCTCCTGGGACATCCTGTTGCCTCCTGGGGCATCCTGAAGCCTGCTGGAGCCTCGCGTGGCATCCTGGGGAGGATCCGTGCCTACGATTCTGGCCACCAAACATGTAAGCCGATCGAGCCATCCTCAAAGCCTGGCCCCATTTGGGGGCGAAAATGAAGGCCTCGCTCGAGACATCCTCCAAGTCTGCTCCGAAAGCGGAAGATGCTGAGCCAGGAAACAGGCAAACCGCTCGAGACATCCCCGCCATGTTGGCGCGAACGGAAAATTCAACATCCCTTGGCGGTTCCCACGCTACAGCATTGACGAAGCACGTCAGCCTCAAGTTGCGAATACCCTGGCCACCGCAACGCCATCGCAGCTCACGAAGCACGAAGCACCTCCTCCCGGGAAAAACTCCGCAGGCCTCTGCACAGGAGGTCCAGGCTTGGCGGCAGTGGTCGGAGCAGGTCCGGCACCGACGCCGCATCGCAAGTGGGCAACCTCCCAGCCACCTCGCCCTGCCCGTCGAGGACAGCCCCGAGCGTCGCGCCGCGCCCCCCAGCACCACTGCCGCAACCCGCCAGCCCACCTGCAGCCACCGTGGCGCCCTCACGCGGCCGCTGCCCATGCCCTGGCCAGAAGCACCTAGCTCCGTCTGGCGCAACGTACGCCGCTGGGGCCTCCAACTCCAACTGGCCCGGGCGCAGCAACGTCACGGGCAACGGCGTCTGCGCAGCCGCCGCGGGAGCCGGCACCCCAACCGCAGGAGCGGCGCCGGCGACGCCTTCGACGCCAGCGCATTCGACGCCGCCAACGCTCCCCGCACAGCCCGCAGCCAAACGCACACCCAGCGGCGATGCCCGGCACCATTGGCGGCGCAGGCCCCGAGCTCGAACGCGAGGCAGCGCCATCGCTACATTGCCCTGCACCGTCCACACCCGTCGCGCCACCCTTTGACATAATACGGCCCCCACGCCCCACCCGCACTCCTTCGCCATCGCCTGAGCAAACGCGAAACTCTCCACTGCCATCTCCTCGAACTGGCGAACTCCTTCAGGAACATACGCAGGCGGCCCCCTTTTCCCAGGATGTCCCATGGAGGCACGTCGCACACGAGAACGCGATGGGCCACGCGAGCGCGGCAGAGCATGACATACAAGTGCAGCCAATCGTCGGGGCCCGCGTGGGCGGTCTTTGCCAGCGTCATCGCAGCTCCGACCACGCCGAGTCCGTGCGCGGCCTGCACCGTGCGAACACATTCTGGCACCAGAGGAATGTGGCATCTCGCCAGAGCGCGCTTGCGATACATTCGGCGGCCACTCTTTTCCCCGTGAGCTGCGCAATGCGCGCTGTAATTTGCACCATGCCTCCGCCAGAGCCTCTGTTCTCATGGAACTCATCGAACTTGACGACGACGCAACGAGACATCATATGACAGCGACACACCCGAGACCGCGCGCTTCGCGAGCCGCACTCGCGCGGCAGTCTGGATCAGGAGTCGCGAACTCGCGCGGCAAATATCTGACGCCCTCCACCGCGCCCACCACGTCCTGCGCGACCCTGTCTTCCGCAGACAGCTGCCCCGTCAGCTGCACACGCATGCCGCGGCACAATGGGCGCATGCCGAGGCAGCGCCCAGCGTCGCTGATGGTCGTGACCTGCAGCACACTGAGGAAATATTCCTTTTGCCGGTCCCGGTCTGGCACAACCACGGCCGGCACGCAAAGCAGCATCTGCCCCTTCTCCGTCGCCCCACGCATAGCCCGGCACTGCATCTGCCGACGCGCAGCGCCCCATCCGATGGCCATCCCGAACCAATCTTGCACGCCCCGCTGCTTCAGCCGCTCGCCGCCCCCACCTGGCCGAACCACCCAGATCCTCTGCTGAAGCGCGAGCGCGCATCCCCCCCTTCCGCATAGAACCCAGGAGGCCAGGTATGAAGCTGCAGGGCCTGGGCGGCGTGACAAGGCGGCCCTTGAAACGATGAGTCTCGCACAAAAACATGCTATGAGTCACGGCGTGAAGATATGTGACCCGCTGATTTCAAATGCGCTCGTTAACTCCGCTCGGCGCAACCCGCCCCAGTCGGGAAGTCCGCCGGCCTTGCCCGGCGACGGGCCATGCGATCAACGACAGACACTGTCAACCTT